CTCCCCGTGCTAAGTCCTCCGCTCAACAAGCCTCTTGTTCTATGGTCTGCTGGGGTAATAATATAGTGTAAAGCGCATAGAGCCTGCTGTTGAGCGGGGATATGCGCTATACAAATGCTATTTATTATTATTATTATTGTTTGCTCTGTCTTTCCTATCAAACATCTATTGTCCTTATTTCTCCTTCTTCTTTTTGTTCGTAACTCTCTTGTAATACCTCCAAATCTTAGGCACTTATATGACCTTATTATGTTGCAAGTGTTGTCAAACTTATTATAAACTTGAATAATTGTGACTGTACTTGAGTTACAAATATGCTTAACCGACAATGTTTGTGTCTCCCTTCCTCCCCCCAACTAGTTGTTTGTGGAATGTTCGGGCGATGTGAAGGACAGCTCCGTGCCATACGTCCAGTCTCAGCTGTGCCACCTGCTGGACCAGTACCAGCACACGATACGCATCACGTGTACCTTACCCAGCCGCAGTGAGTGACGCGCACGCTTTCTGTCTTTGGGCTTATAGTAACGTCGACTGTTTCTTGATTTTTGGGTTCTCATGCAAGGGAATTGGTATGGGCTTATAGTAACGTCGACTGTTTGTTGATTTTTGGGTTCTCATGCAAGGGAATTGGCATGGGCTTATAGTAACGTCGACTGTTTGTTGATTTTTGGGTTCTCATGCAAGGGAATTGGCATGGGCTTATAGTAACGTCGACTGTTTGTCGATTTTTGAGTTCTCATGCAAGGGAATCCGCATGGGCTTCTAGTTACGTGTATTGTTTGTTGATGTGATTGTTGAGTTTTCGAACAAGAGAATTGGTATTGGCTTAAAGTAACTTGTATTGTTTGTCGAATGTTGAGTTTTCATACAAGAGAATTGGCATTGGCTGAAAGTAACTTATCGATTGTTGAGTTTTCATTAGTGGGAATTGACGTTTAATCCTTGGGCTTCTAGTAACGTAAAAAGAATATGTTTGTGTAGTATAGTGAAGTAGTTGCACATATTCATGAACCATAGAGCACGTTTCCCTTTGGGGCCTTCAGAAACTGACATGTGTTTTGTGGATTCTTCCACTAGCAGGATAAAATAAAAGTTTGAGGAAATACTAAATTTTCTTGAAAGTAAAGTTTTTAAAAATTCTTTACAAAAATGATGAATTGTTTTTTTTTTTTAGCAAAAGTTCTTTTCTTTGTCAGTGTAGGCTTTTCTCATTGTCTTTGAGGTCACACTGCTCTGTGTCTCTCATTTTCACTCAACTCACTGGTCTAAATATGGAAGACAGATTTCATTCCTAGCTATTGAATTGAATACACCTGCAAAGATTTATTAAGAGACATTTGTCTTTGATCAGAAGGTCAAGCATTTTCAGTTTTGTCCTCTGGTTTATTTCACAGTGAAAACTCCTAGGGCATGGGTTGTAGTGGAAAAAGCTGAGAATCTTTTGGCCAACTTGGATAGGGCAGCAGTGTTGAGATACAGTGACAATCTATTTTGTGAATTTGAAAATAAGTCTCTGTTCTGAACGCGTATGATCTTCATGGACATGAGAGTTGCTGAATGCCTCCTGTTTGTGGCGAGTCTGTGGGTGACAAAGGACTTGTGTGTGATAAAGACAGTGATATATTTCTGAGGATGTTTTTTTAGATCCCCTGTAAAGCCATGAAAGGATTCCCCACTGAGACAGTAAAGTAATTATCTTAACTCTTTCTCAAGGTTTTCTTACAACTGATGAATGTTTTGTTTCATGCTTATTACATTTGTATCCTTGTCAAGTTTTGAGTGTTGGTGCGATTTAGCATTTCACACATGTTTGTGTGTGTTGATGATTAATATTTTATTTGAATGATGGCAAATAAATCTGTTTCAGTGGTAGAAATTAGGGGGGGGATGATCATGTTTCTTTGTTTAATTTGTAGACAGAGTTGTTGGCAGTTGTAAAACCAAAAAGTCAGTAACAGCAAAAGAAGTTAAAAGATACTGGCAATAAGTTTACTTAGTTTTGAATCATAATCCTCACAATTGTTGAACTTTGAAGATGCTGCCTGGTGATGAAGATGTTGGTTTTTTTATGGCATGGAGACATTGAATCTGTCTTCTGACTTTCCAAGTGATTTGTCGATCTACTAACAGACTTCTCGATTTTATTCACAGAATCTCTGGAAGAGTACATTTCATCACTGAAGGAGAGCCCATCAAAGGCTGGCCACAGTCGACTGGACGTGTCCTCGATCCTGCCGCTGTACAGGCACGCCGACTCATCACAGGTGGACGAAGGGATCAGCGAGAACGACTCGGCTTTCTACAGCGGAGGCACGAACTCGAAACACTCGCTGTCGGGGGTAGACCCGGGCTCCAACTTCTCCATCAGTAGCTCGACTACCACGGAGACGCGCTACGGGGTCGGTGCCTCGGTCAGCGCGTCCGAGGGGGTGCAGGCCGCGTTTGACACAGACCAGGAGTCGGGCTACTTCAAGAGCACCACGCCTCGCTTCACCAGTGACTGCGAGGAGTCTCAGTCGAGCAGCGGTATCGGCGAGGAGGCTGGAGGAAGTGGCGGGGGCGGGCGACAACACTCGGTGGTGTCCCTCCCGCACTCGTCGTCGCACGAGCACCTGACAGTGGACATGGTGAACCTGTACTCCAAGTTCTCCTCGGTGGGCCTGCACAGCTCCCACAGTGACCCCTCCATCTACCACAGCTGCGCCGACAACAGCGACTCCTCCCTGCAGTGTTTGGGCTCGGGCCCCAGCTCCGGCAGCCAGGAGGACACCAGCACCAGCGCCGAGTTCAACTTCAGCTGCTCGGGACCCGACCCGGAGCCCGTCCTCTCCTCCCCAGAGGACGGCTACGGCTTTGAGGAGGACAACGATGAGGACGAGGGCGTGAGCATCGAGACGGCCTTGTCCTCCTCCACGCCGCTGCCCCCTGGAGGAGCCAGGAGACCCGACGCGGTCACTCGCGGGCTCGACCTCCCGCCTTCTGGCTTCTCAGACAATTACAACCAGTTCCAGTTTCCCGCTCCGAGCTACGACGACTCCGACGACTGGGATCGGGAACTGGCCAAAGAGCGCACAGCGTGCGGAGGCACCCTCCACTCTTTCCCCTCCTCCTCCTCATTACCTCAGACGACTGGTGCCGCTGAGGCCTGCGACCCGGGCTCTGAACCTCAGGCGGGTACTGAAGCCGCCGCCGCCCGGTCGGAAACTTGTGTGTCCAACGCCAGTGCACAAGCCGCTCCCTCCACACTGACTCAGTCCAACACTTCTGACGCTGCTCATCCTCCCCCTCTTCCACCACCTCCTCCTCCTCCTCCTCCCATTCCACCTCAGTTCCTGGCTGGGTCTTCTTCGCTCACTCCCCGTGCTAAGTCCTCCGCTCAACAAGCCTCTGTCAAACATTGTGAAGAGGAAGAGGAAGTTTTGGAAGTGAAGAGATATTTTCATGCTGTGATTTCTGACTCTTGTGAAACGGAAGATCGCAGTAAGTATCCTGTATATGTCTTCGTTTGCCGATATCTATGATGGCATTGCCTTATTGTTCTCTTTGCTGATATCCGTGCCATGAACATATAATTATACTGTCGTTCACATTTCATCCACTTTATGTAGCAAGCATTTCCCTTGAAAGCTCTTTGCCTTTTGAGAAATGTTGGAATGATATATTTTATGTTCTGTAAGCAATATGTTTCTTGTCGGTTTTGCACCTTGTGAAGGTCTAGCGTTCTTGTCTGCGTATATTTTCTAGTTTTGTGTTGCTTATGCTTAAATCAAGGGCACTGAAAACTGCACCCCTTTAGTGAGCTACATATTATAAATTGTGGGTTTAGTCACCTTTTAAAGCTGTATGGGGGGTAATTTATTACAAGCATCATATTATATTTGAGACAGGGGGTAATTTATTACCAGCATCATATTATATTTGAGACGGGGTAATTTATTACAAGCATCATATTATATTTGAGACAAAAGTTATTTGGTATTGCAATTTTTGTCTCAAAAACCTAGCACGAAAACGTATTCATATTCGGTGATGTTGAAGTTTCAGTGTATGTTAAATTGTCCTAAAGTTTGCATTTTTTCTGGGTGAAACTTATTGGATAAGTGCAGACTTCCTTTAGAAGGGACTGGGAAATGTGAACATGACGTCATTGACAAGAACACACGCATCATAGACATGTTTGTAATAGTTTTTCCCCTCCATGGCTGTTGACAAGGATCGTTGGTGAGCTTTGACAAAAAGAATTGGTTCTTTAAAAAAAATTTTTTTTACCCCCAGCAACATGTTGACTACAAAGCCCTGAATGACCATTTGACTAATTGTTTCTTCCCCTTTCTTTCCTCACAGTTTTAGATGTTTCTGTTGATAAGAGAATTACCCTTGGGGCTTTCAAACGAGAACTTGAACCATATGTTGGCGTGATGTCCAATTTTTTTAAGGTAACCTGCCTTTTTTTATTCATTTATTTATTTTTTTTTTTTCTTCTCTTGTTTTAGCTTCTGTTTTCTTTGTGTAAAATGCATTTATCTGTATTATTGAGTTTTAGAGTCGCGGAATGTGTTGATCAGAATTGTTGTTTCCGTTTATTGTCTTTCAATAGCAAGCAGCATGCATTTGGCATTGTGGCATTTTAGAATATTTATTTTGTATGAGGAAGAAGTATCATGTATACACTTGATGTGGTGATTGATTGCTGTGTAAGCCGTTCTGTTTTTAAAAAAATAATATGAATTTTTAAAGAATGTTCTCCTGATTTAAATTAGCTCTTCAAACTACCTTCTCATGGTTTGTTCCAGTTCCCCTTCCCCCCTGGTAGTCCTTATCGCCCCCTCCCTCGGTAGTCCTTATTGTGCATAGAGCATACTATAGGCTCTTCTTGTTTGGGAAGGCGGTGTTTTGCAGCAATGTCTAGACTCCCACCCCAAAGTATCTTACGTTGTCATGTAGTTGTTCTGCATGACTATATGGACCTTCATGCACTCTGTGTTCTTTGTATAGTGGACTTATTTTATTCTCGTGACATAGCTAGAATAGTAGGCCCAACTTATCTTCGTCAAATAGCTAGAAAAATAAGACCAGTGGGTGTGATGGCGCTAGGTACTGCACATTTCATTTCAAACTCTTTTTGTAGGTGGTTGGCGGGTGCTCTGGTGTGGTTTGCTTCTTCTTTCCTATCAAACATCTATCGTCCTTATCTCCCCTTCTTCTTTTTTATGTTTGTTACTCTCTTGTAACACCTCTTATCTTCTGGCGCTCATATGACCTTATGCAGTTGCGAGAGCCGTAAAACCTCTACTAAAACTAAACTAAACTAAACTCTTTTTCCCCATAATTCTTAGGAAGAATTTCTAGCATTGTTTACTTTAGGTTGTCTGCTCCGAAATGTGTTATTAGACTGGGCTGTAGACGAAAGATAAAGCAGGTCAGCAATTTTTGGAGTACTTTGCAAACCTTTTTTTTTTATAGATTGCACTATGATGGTGGAAGTTACCGTATTTATTTTTAGAAACAAATGAGATCTTGAGCACTTAGAAAGGTAGTTGTTCGTATGTTGACATTTTCCTTGCTAGGCCTGCTGGCTTATCACTTTTCTTCTGATGAAACTCGCACAAGATCAACTTTTTTTGGGGGGGAGCCCATATCGATCATGCTCTTAGCGTCGTTGATGCTGCCTTTTTCAGACCCGATACTTTCCTTCATTGAACAAAGGCCACGATTTCCATCTTTACGAAGACGATTTCTAGTAGATTCTGTTGTTTGGTTTGTCGATTTTCTTTATCTCAACAGTATACCGTCTGCAAAAACCTTTACTGTTTTACTATTGTATCCATACGACGTGGGGAACTCTAGGCCACCACTTTCCAAAACGGGAAATTTACTCGTAAATCCGATCCGTACGCTTTGCATAGCAGTCTGTCAAAATGATTTTTTGAGAAATACAGAAAGTTTCAAAGAGATTTTCGCACTTGAAGCATTCTAAAATGTGAAGAATACCAACCCTGGGGTACAAAATGACCCCCGGCGTACGTATAGGGTTAAACTGTGTGCGTGCCAAGGTTCTATTTTCCAGTAGATGTAAAACGTAATAAAACAGATTATTATATCTATTGTGCAGTTTCTTACTCTGGCACAACTCCGAAGGGCTAGAATTATTTGACTATGTTCTGCTACAGGTTTTTTGTTGTCCAGGCCGATGTTTGACTTACATTGCGAAAATATATTGCAGACCTGCTGGGTTCTCCCGTAAAATACTAATTTTCAGATTTTTTTTGCTCGATGAAAAACCCTGGTCGTATTTGCCTAAAATCAAAATTTTTTTCTTGCATTCTGTTTCCACTGATCGTAGGCAGTGTATTGTGAACAACAATGAAAATAAGCTGGTTTATTTGCATTATTGTGTGTCTTGTCGTAGATGACGCGGAGTGAAAGTACACTTCTATTTGCGTGTATTTGCCATATGCATTTGTTGTTCAAGGCCTGTTTTTGACATAATCGTAATCCACTGGGGTTCTTCGGGAGACTCTCGATGTTTTTGCCCATACTCTGATTTGTATGGCGGATTCGGAGAAAAACTTGTGTATTGTTTGTCTGGGAGGGGCTGGCACGTCTGAAATTGTAATTGTAGATTATGGGAAATATTAGCAGATTTTGCCATTTTCTGAGAGGATGTGTTTGTTGTAAAGATGTGATGAAGATGAGGAGTGAGTAGAGAGACATTGAATTTGTTTTTTTCTCCTCGCAGGTGTATCGAGTGTACTCTAACAATCAGGAATTTGAGAGTGTGCGCTTGTCTGATACTTTGTCTTTCTTCGAAGATGGAAAAGTGAGTAGCATACCAGTATACCAGCGCAACCTGGCTCAGTGAGTGAGAAGTGTTTGGGGCTCTGTGCTGGAGATATGTATAATAATAATAATAATAATAATAATATTAATATTGATGATAATAACAGATAGCATTTGTATAGTGCAAATTCCCTCAACAGCAAGCTATATACTAGAACAGTTTGAGGTTGGAATCTATCGTGAACGTAGACAGCAGCTAGGATATTGTAGATACTATAATCAGAAGACATGTTGCCATTATGATAGTGTTCTTGGTTTGACTTTCTGTTCTCTTTGTGTAAAAAATGTGGCCGTTCTGACAGTGTGTTTCAGTACGGTCCTACAGCTTGATAACAAGATCTTGTTCTCGTTTTTCTTTCAGTTCAACATCAAACTTGGCCGAGCCTTGCAGCCAGGAGAACACAGGGTCAAGGTCTACCGGCTCTGCGTGAACGAGGCGGAGGTTGGAGCTTTTTCTCAACACAATAATTCTATCTATAACCAATCGAACTGTAATACACTAGAAGTGATATAAAACTTGATTTTACTTTTTGTTTTGATTGTCGCTTGCCGGCTTAGAGTTGTTGTTACTGGCTCTACGGTCGTACGGTGTGCTCCGATATACGGGGCTCAGTTGTCTGGATCTAACTTCAAAAGGGAACGACGCAGGAAAGTCTGAAGGAAGATACTGTGAACTGTTTTATTTGTTGAATTGAGAAACGTTTTATATATATATATATATATATGGGAGGGTATTGGAAATTTATTGTAATTTTTTCTCGTTGCCCTGGCATAATGTGTGAATATGAAGATGTATTTGGTGTAGCTCCCCAGTATTATAATTAGAGAGTCCACATTTTTCAAGGGAACTGTTAGTTTGTGTGAAGGAGGGGCTTAAGATGTGTACAGACCAATGGATCAGGTTCAAAGAATAATTTTGACTAAGGAATGCTTTCTTTGTCCGAGAACTGATTTTTGACCGATTCCTCTCACCTTCCCACTCACATTTTACCTGTTACATGGGGGGCTTTCAAAGACATCTCTGGGAAAAAAGAGTTTGAAGTTGGATGGGCCTCATGCAGTTGTGAGTGCGGTAAAACGTTAACCAAAAGAAGTTTTGTGGTAAGTAAATGCCAGCATCACATATTTGATTTTGTTTTGACCCACAGCCGTGCAAGTACCTGATTGAGACAATCTTTGCAAAGGGCATGACGGTCTTACAGTCTAAGAAGATCATCCTCGAGGAAGTGAAGGAGCAATGTGGACTAGACATTCCATTAGACAGGTAAATAGCTGAACACTGCGAGACGGTCGCTGATAGGTCGGCTGGCAGATAATTTTTTTGTTTGTGTAAAGGAAACCTTGGGACTATCAGTAAACTAGAGATTGTACGTGGGACAGGTAAATGCTGGTGACCGTGTCTACGATGTCTGCTCTGTTCCACAAATCTTCGTCAAATTCTCTTCAGCGGTCATTGCACGTTTCTGTACTTAAGCTTTGAAGAATGTTGAAAAACCTTACAGTATATATAAAGTTGTTATGAGTCTGATCAGTGTTGCTCTGGAGATACCTCTGGTTTGCAATCTTTACAAAGTTCTGGTGAAATGCCCTGAGAATCCTGCCCAACCTTTGTGACTTGGTGAGGGTTAGGAGCTGTTGTCTGAAGCCACAGGGCCCAGTGGCTGGCAGGCAGACAGATGAGACGGACAGACAAGACAAGACAGACAGGCAGACAGACAGACAGACAGTTGTTTGCTTGTGTATTTTCAGGCTTGACAGTCCCATAAACTTGGATACAGGGTAAGGCAAGAATGATACTACTAATTTTTCTTTTTTCTCTTTCTTTTTTTCCCTTCTCATTGCAGATGTCGACTAAGAAAGAAGTCTTGGACAAATCCTGGCACTGTCTATCTCGACAGCCACATGTACGAAAATGAAATCCCGATCTACCCAAACTGGGAGATTTTCCTGGAGGTACTGGAAGGTAGGTACTCTCTGGGCACTCCACAGGAAAACATGGAGTATGATAATGATAATAATAATAGATTGCATTTATATAGCGCTATATCCCATACGAGTATAAGAAAATATCGTCTCTGTCCTTGTCATAATAGTACTGGCTGTTCTTGTTACTGTGTATGAATTATCCTTTTTCATTTTGCTTTTGATGTGGAAATGAAGTAAGACTAGTTGTTGTGTACATAGCCATGGGTACATTGTTCTGTCGCATTCAATGGAAACTGTTCAGGGGTCCAAACTTAACAAACCATAGTGGAGTCCACTTAAACTGAAATCTGCGGGACTGTCCAATTTTCTGAAGTTTGTCTTGTTTTTTGATTAAGAGAAGAAACTGAAACAGAGAACTGCTGCCTTTTCTTTCCTGATCCTTACTATTGTCATTTTTCTCTACTTATTTTGTATGTTTGTCACTCTCTTGTGACCCGCTATTTCCGGGGTGCCTTGATAGTTGAAGCAGACCTTGTGCTGTTGAAGCTAGAGAGGTCAGCAGAGTAAGTCTGATTCCCTGTAAAGACTTCTCTGTTGACACCCACCCCTTGGCGCTCATATGACCTTATGCAGTTGCGAGTGCCGTAAAACGCTCTACTATAAAAAAAATAAATATATATCCTGATCTCTCTTTTTTTGTCTTTGTTACTCTCTTGTAATGCCCTGCATCTGTCATATGACTGAATTGTTTTGCAAGTGCTGTAAAACTCTTTACTAAAACTAAACTAGATGTGCTGTATTAGGAGGTGGGTTTATGTGATGTTTGTTGGAATGCTGTTATGTGCAGAAAGGCAGAGTGCAGGCCTATGGTATGCCTGCACTCAGATGAAGCACACACAGGAAAGCTCCTTGACCTTACTCAGGTCTTGCGCGCCGGTGTAGACTTACCTGTGATCTTTAAGTCTATCACAGGTTTTACCCCACCGGCTACACTTCTCTCTTTGTATGTGTCAGTACTTGTTCAAGTGCAAGGTCAGTACTTCGCGACCTCAGTGCTTTCTTTTCGTATCTCCATTATTTTTTTTTACCCCTGGCACTGGATAATGATGATGATGATGTCGTTGTGATGATGTTTGTGTTCGGAAAAGTCGAGATAATCTGGCTACTGTCTCACTGTCCCCACAGGCCCCGAAGAACTGACGGACTCGTCCCAGCTGGCCGTGTATGTCCGCCACTGGAGGCCGTCGACTCACCAGATTGACCCGTTCCAGGAGGTGGTGCTCACGCACAAGTCGGTGGAGGAGCTCAAGAATAAGGTGAGATACACACACACACACACATACGCACGCACGCACATACACACACACACACACACATGCACACACACACACACAAGTCGGTGGAGGAGCTCAAGAACAAGGTGAGATACACACACACACATATGCACTCACATGCACACACACACAAACACACACACACACACACACACACACACACACACACACACACACACACACACACACACACACACACACACACTCAAGTCGGTGGAGGAGCTCAAGAACAAGGTGAGGGTAGTGGCTGACACCTTACATACACACACACATGCATGCACACGGTGAGGGCAGGAACTGACACTTCATACGCATGCACATACATACTCGTGTATGCATGTGCACACTCAGATGCGCATTCACGCACACACAGGGAGAGGCAGAAATAAGAGCTGACTGAGAAATATGTCAAAGGTCTTTGATTGTTTGTCATTTGTCACAGGCAAAATTGTTTTTGTTAGTGTGCAGAGATTTTGTCAAACTATTCCTTTCTAGAAAGTAAATAGGTGCTGATCTGTTTGGGAGATTTAAAAAAATTGTTTTTATCTTTTCTATATTAAAAAAGATTAGCCATTAGTCCTGGTAGGGATGTTGATGACATGACAATGTTCTCTATGTACTGAGTTCTACAGTTATGGGAGGAAAATTATAGTGATTTGTTAGGATTAAACGTAATACTGTTTTGTGCTTTGTCTTATTTTTTTGCCTCTTGGTTCTCCCCAGATTTCTGCCATCAGCAACATCCCAGCTGAAAATGTTGAGTTTTCAAAGGTGAGTCGTTGCTTTTTATTTTCACATCTGTGAAATTTTTGACACGAGTTAGACTATACATGTGAAATTTGACGTGATTTCTCCCTTGCCATGTGTTTGTGCTGTTGGTTTATCACACGGATGATGTCTTTGAGTAGAGCCAGGTGTGGTATTGGCAGGAGTACAAGGGAAGAAAGATGTGACTTTTTCACATTTTTAGACTGGTGTCTGTCGCTGACAGGGGGAATATGTGTGAAGTTATGTGGTGGGGGGGGGGGGGGGGGGAGGCGGGTTGGCATTGTGATATCTTTGTGGAAACTTGCAGTTTTCAGCACAATGAGATCATCAGCTAAGGAGGAATACTTGTAGACCACACACCCGTTTGTGTACAGGGCAAAGGGATGTTTTACACACACACACACCCACACTCACACGTACAAACACACGCACATCTATTTACCTTTGTGTTATTTGTATGTGTGCAGGGCAAAGGGACGTTCCCGTGTGAGGTTTCCGTGCTGGAGATCAACAACCTGGAGTGGAACCCTCATGTGACTTCCCTCAACATGTGGCCTCTCTACATCTGTGACGACGGGCACGTCATCTATTTCAGGTAACGCACCGCCGGTGGTTGGAGGGCGCCACTGGTAGACCCTATTTCTTTACTTTGGTAATAATGATAAATAATTAAAAGCATTTGTATAGCGTATTCCCCCGCTCAGCAGCAAGCTCTATGTGTTTTACACTGTATTATTACCTCAGAAGACCATAGAACACTCAGAAACATTCTCAGCTTCCTGGGAAGCATACATACAGTGCCAGCAGCTGATTAAGCGCTCAAGCACTAACAAACTGACGGGATTGGAACTCATGACCTTACGGTTTTAAGTCCGAGAGCCTAACCACTAGGCTACCGACGCCACTTTTCACTCTGTTGTTTCAGTCTGTCTGTTTGTCTTACTTTTTCCCAGCGCTGAATGACCCTTATTGTGTCCATGTGCTCCTCTTTTTCTCTAGTAAAACTCTCAGGTAGTTTTCATGACCATCAGACCAAATGTGTGTGTGTGCCTGGAGAAAGGCCCCAGTTGGCAGAAATTTTTGGATTTAGAAATAAGGGCATATTCTTGTAGCAAATTCAATGCTGAACACACTGATTAAAATTTTTTTTCAAATAACTTGTGTGGTTTTAAAGATATGCCAATTTTGTAAGACAGAGTGTAAAAACAAGGTTTGGAGAAAAACTGGAGAATATGTGACTTATAGAGGTGGGTCATGAAGTTTCTCATTGTTGTCTTCTTTTACTTTCCGTCTGCAGAGACAACAGCGAAGAGCTGGTGGAGCTGTCCGAGGAGAAGAAGAAAGAGATCCAACAGAAAGAGAACAAGTAAGTGAAAGTTCCCTCGCTGGCTAATTTTGTTCGTGAGAATGTGTGCGGGTCTGGGAGTTGTATGTGTGTGTGTGAGAAGTGTGTTTGTTTGATGGTGTTGTTAAATGGCCTCACAATGTGTGTTTTGTGTCCTTAGATTGGTCAGTTAAGTTGAACGATGATTCTGCATTGTACAGCTCTTAGGGCCTTCTAGGGATTAGGTGCTACATAAATTCCATATTTATAGCTAGGGATTAGGTGCTACATAAATTCCATATTTATAGCTAGGGATTAGGTGCTACATAAATTCCATATTTATAGGTCAGATGGGCAAAACTATGGAACAAAAGAGTTTCGTGCTGCCTGTGGAAACATTTGACATATTGGAACAAAAAAAAAAAAAAGTGATAAATTCCTTTTATAGTCCAGGGCTTCCAGTCTTCCGCAATTTTGCGGATTTCCGCAAATTAGCAGAATTCCGCAAATGGAAAAATTTCCGTGAAAATTCGTGCCAAAAAAAATTAATTAAAAAAAATATTTAAAAAAATGCGAAATAAAAAATTTCCGTAATTACCAATAGTCAACAATAGCCAACCCATACCGGAAGTGCTCTTTTATTTGAAAGTGTAGACAGTGTCTTCTACTTTCACTTTCTAAAGCACAAGAAATACAGCACCAGCAATGTAAACAAGAGGAAGAAATGACGATTGTGGTTCAATAGATCTTGGGCCTGCCAAAAAAAGAAAACTCTAAAGAGAGCTTGATTTTTTTTTACCAGACTTGTTTATTTGTAAGTTTTGTTGTAGATTTAAGTTGAATAAGCTGTCAAGTTATTTAGATCTCTAGACTAGATCTAGAATCTAGACTAGAATCTAGCTAGATATTAGATCTAGATCTAAATCAAGTCAAGCTGTTATACTATTATTGTAAGGATTCTACACCTTATGATGATTATGGTGCAAACCAACACAAGCAGAAAATTATGTAGACCTATGCAAAGTGTGTTTTATTTTTCACTTATTTTCTGTTAAATTTAATAATGGATTGCATTTATATAGCGCATATCCACTTATGCAATGCTCTATGCGCTTAACATGATACATATAATGGATTTACAAATCAATTTTAAAGGTACATAGTGTTACATACTCATGCAAACACATATTCACTCACGCACGCACCACACACATATACATACTCACATACACACATACATACATATGCACATACGCACATACAAACTCACAACGATCTACAGCTTGGATGCATTCTGTCTAATCGAAATATGATGAAAATAGAAATGATTTTAGTTTCTTCTTAAAAAATTCTAGATTTTCTGCTTCTCTGATAGTTTTTGGAAGCCTATTCCAAACATGTGGGGCAAAATATGAAAAAGAGCGTTGGCCATATGATTTGAAATTTATTTTAGGCTTAACAAGGGTTGTTTTGTCACTAGATGATCTGAGCGTTCTAGGAGGCACATAGGGTGTTAAAAGCTGTTTTAGATAGTCCGGTGATAAATCATTTAAGCACTTGTAGCAAGTTAAACAGATTTTATATATGATGCGCTCTTTCACTGGGAGCCAGTGTAATGCTTTTAAAATAGGAGTCACATGATCATGCTTTAGTTTTTTAGTAATTATTTTGGCAGCAATATTTTGTACTCTTTGTAGTTGTTGTAACTGTTCATCAGGTACACCAGCCAGTAAGGAATTGCAATAATCAATCCTTGACAATATAAGTGATGTTATTAAAGTTTTGGTGACACCAACAGATAGATATTTTCTAATGCTCCCTATTTTCTTCATCTGGAGATATAGATTTTTACAAAGATTGGATACATGGTATTTCATTGACATATCTTGATCTAGCTCCACACCTAAATTTCTTATTTTAGTTTGGGCTGATATTTCGTGGCCATTGATGTTTATTCTGATATTGTCGATTTCATTGCATGCGCTGCTACGAAGAAATAATATTTCGGTCTTATCCTCATTTAATTTTAATTTGTTCTTGAACATCCATTTTCTTATATCATTGATACATCTGGCGATTCTATCTATGAGATTGTGTACATTGTCAGTTGTAGTGAATCCATACAGCTGTGTATCGTCTGCATAAAGCCTAAATTTAGGCTTGAATAGCCAGAAATGGCGTACTTAGGATGCTCGGAAACCAAAAATTCTCAAACATAAAGGGGGCGCTATCCCCCTTCAACCCCCTGCCAGGGCTCAGCCCTGGACCCGAAAATCCTCGAAAAATGACATCAGCTGCTGGAAAAGCTCTGATAGTCATCAATTTTCTCAAAACACAAGCTGGCGCCGAGACTAACTGCCGTGGTGAATAAAATGGAGACCTCATGCTCCATTTGTTTCTTCTATATTTAAAAAAGAAAAATTAAGTTATTGCGTGTAATGGTGCAAAATAGGCTCAGTATTTTCTGTATGAGAGAAAAGTGAGGTTCATCATTATCCGGTGCCTTGCCGACTGGCGTGGGCGATCACGGACCTCCACTTCACTCTGTCTTGCGTTGCAGCAATGGTGTCTGTTGTTCTTGCTGCTCCTAGCCATGTTGTCGTCTTGTCCAATATCTTTTCCCTCTGTGTGCCTCTGCCTCTCTTTCCTTCAAACTTGCCTGTTGTTACAATATTCTCCAATGCTTCTTTCCGCATTGTGTGTCCAATGAAATTTGCCTGTCGCTTTCGTATATTCGTCGTAAGCTGTCGTCTGCAATTTGCTTCAACCAAGACTTCCTCATTTGTTTTTCTAGATGTCCATGGGACACGCAGCATGCGTCTTATGAACCACAACTCTGTCGCCTCAATTGTTCTTTCCAGCTGTCTATTGATTGTCCATGCTTTGCACCCGTATGTTAGGATTGACTCCATGTAACTTTTCAGTACTCTTTTTACTTGTTTCCACTTCTGTAATTTTTTCCATGAACGTCATGTATCAACCCACAATGAATGAAAATGACGTTACACGTTGCATAATGTCCCGTATAGTTCAGGACCTTGTTGGTGTGACCCAAAGTCTGAAAAGTTTTCCCATTTCTGTCATATGTAGAGTGTGCTTAACAAAAATAATTAATTTGGTGTGTGTGTGTCTTTCCCCACCCCACCCCCACCCCAGGGTATCTCGGCAGACCCACAGGATCTCCTGCTCCCCTCGCAAAGAAAGAGCGCTGAAGATCTACACCGACGAGGACGACCAGCCGTCCAAGACGTCGCTGGAGGTGGACTAGCCTCTGGAGGTGGATTAGCCTCTGGAGGTGGACTAGCCTCTGGAGGTGGACTAGCCTCTGGAGGTGGACTAGCCTCTGGAGGTGAACTAGCCTCTGGGGGCGCAGGAGAATGGCGGCAGTTGGAGCAGTCAGGCGTTTTTGGGGGGGTCGATGGATCAGTTTGCAGTTTGTGGGTGTCCATGAAGCAGTCTACGAATGTGGATATATCAGCCGACTGTCGGGGGATGTGAGTGTATCCTGTGGATGTGAATGTAACAGTCTGCGGTCTGTGGATTCCGACGGAGCAGTCTACGGATGTCTATCAATCCGTCTTCAGTCTACGGATGTGGATGTGTGAGTCTACAGTCTGTGGATGACCATGGAGCAGTCAACAGTCTGTGGGTCTTGTATGATGTTCTCTCTGCTCCCTGCGATTTCTTTCTGTGTGTAGACTGTTGGATCATCCACTATGTAGTCCTGTCACACTGTAGGGGGAGTGGGTTTGGCTGGGCTTGGTTGGGAATGGCTGGACGTGGCTTGGCTTGGCTGGGCTGGGCCGAGGAAGGAAGTGAAGACCAAGACCATGGGAAAGGACGTCGAAGACCATGGGAAAGGGTTGGAAATTTTCCCCTGTTGTGGTCGTGTTAAAGCGCTCAAAGTTTTTGTGGCCCGATAGAATTCCATTATGCAACGTAAGGTTTGAAAAGTGTGGACTATTTACAGGGGTTCAGAGAAGGATAAGATTTTGAATGGGTGGCGCTTAAGAATCAGCTGCGCTGACAGATTTTGCTGCTGGTCTCATTATGGTTAGGTTGTTTTGTGTTGTTGTTTTTTTTCTTCAGGCATTGCATTCCCTCCTTTTTTATTCTTTTGTCTATATTTCTTTAACTTTTTCTTTTAAAAAAAATTAAATTTCTCTTTTTATTCTTTCTTTCATTTTCTTTCATTCTTTCTTTCTCCCCCCTTTTTATATATTAAAAAAAATTGATGAACAAATTTGAACAATCAGTATTCATTATGAGGGTAATCTTTTGAGTAATCGTTTCTGTTGTGGCAGGTTGAGTTGTTTTGAGTAGATTTGAACTTTGTGTGAGTACAGTTGAAAGTAGCAGGAGCAATGAGAGTGTGACACGCAAAAACTTCGAGTCGGAGGGTAACCCAGGGTTCCTGCGGCCTCCTTGAATTTGAGGAGTCCTTGAAAACTCTTTGAATTTGCATTCAAGGAAAAATATTCTTGAAAACTCCTTGAATTTGAGGAACCACCTTGAAAACTCCTTGAATTTCGCCGGATGGGACATGAACAACATTTTTGTCAGATTGCTCTTGGCGCGCCGTTGAAAACGGCATGAATTTCTGGACCAAATCTCCTTGAATTTTTAAAATTTCTCCTTTAATGCCTCCTTGAAATCTCCTTGAATTTGGAGGGGAGTTCAAGGCAGGAACCCTGGTAACCTCACCTATGGTCTGAGCACAGGGAAGGGGCTGGATGGAGAGTGTAGAAAAGGAAAACTACGTTAAAACGTCCTTGTTTGTTTTTTTGTGGGTTTTTTTTACAAATAAATTTTTGTTATGTTTTTGCCTTGGAAAAGGGTTGCTTTGTTAACTCGTTGAAATCCAGCGACAGTAGAGCAGCCAGACAGATGAGTGTGTGTGGGGATTGGTGCTCGGTGTCGCATGCGTGTTATATATATGTTGGGATTGTTGCTGACTGTGTCGCGTAATGTGGGTGTCGCATGCGTGTTATATGTGTCGGGATTGTTGCTAACAGTGTCGCGTTGTGTGTGTTTATTGTGTTTGTGATGGGCAGGTCTAGTGGAAGGTTAACAACCCGCCCTCCACCCGTCCCCCTCTGTGGGTGGAGCGGATCATTTCTGGCTTTTTGAACGAACATGTGATGACTGGTGACCGTATCTTGGTTTTCTTAAAATGGTAGCCGCTTGGTTTGTTTGTTTTCTACCCTTTGAGAGGTGAGATGAATGTTTTCTCTGAGACAGTCTCTCTATCTTCCGCCTCTATGACTCTATGAAAGGTGAGTTGAATCTTTTCTCTAAGGCAGTTCCTCTATCTCCCAGTACTGCGAAGTGTGGGCGGGGTCCCATGGCTTATATGATGATGATGCGAGGTCTAGAGGTTTTTTAAAGAATTGATTTCTTAATTTGGTCACAGATGGGATGCATGCTTTTGATATAGCATATATATACAAATTGGGAGAGGGGAGAAATGGTCACACTGTCAGAAAATCACCCCCCCCCCCCCAAGTGGTATGTCAGTTTTTGAAATAAAGGAGAGAAATGGCTAGATTAGTTGTGCAGGGTTCCTGCAGCCTCCTTGAGTTCAAGGAGCCCCTGAAAATTCTTGAATTTGCATTCAAGGAAAAATCTCCTTGAAATCTCCTTGAATTTGAGAAAACTCCTTGAATTTGAGAAAACTCCTTGAATTTGAGAAAACTCCTTGAATTTGAGAAAACTCCTTTATTTTCGCCGGATCGGACACGGAACAACATTTTTGTCAGATTGCACTTGGCGCGCCGTTGAAAACATGAATTTCTGGACCAAATCTCCTTGACTCAAATTTCTCCTTGAAACCTTGAATTTGGCGGGGAGTTCATGGCAGGAACCCTGGTTGTGGTTAACCGTGTGTGCGAGTGACTTGTTGTATGTGAGTGGTTGGACGAGAGACGGAAGCGGTCTCTCCAGCTTGCTGGCTTCAGCCCTTGTTTTGTAGTGGGTGGTTGGCGGGTGCTCTGGCGTAGTTTGCTCCTTCTTTCCTATCAAACATGATCTATCGTCCTGATCTCTCGTCCTCCTTTTTTGTTTTTGTTACTGTCTTGTAACACCTCTACTCTTGGGCACTTATATGACCTTATTGTGTTGCAAGTGCCGTAAAACTATTACTGAAACAAAGAGACGGAAGCGATCTCTCCAGCGTGCTGGCTTCAGCCCTTGTTTTGTAATGTGCACACAGATAGGGTGGGTGCCCTCACTGGTGTTTGCTTTCAGGGGCTCAGGAGTACAGTGAAAATGTCGTGTCTTCCACACTGGATATTATGCTTAGTGCGTCTCAAAATACATTACAGAGGTGTTTGTGTGTGTGTGTGTGTGTGCTGGCCTGCATGAGTGTGTGCGTGCAAACATGAATGGGTGTGCGTTTGTAACTGTGTATGTGTGTCTGTGTGTTAAATGTGCCCTTTTAAAGACATGTGTACATATTGAAAACTTTTTTTTTTCCTTTCCTTTGTCTGGCAATTGATTGTGTAGATGTATACGTACATACATAGTTCAGATGTTATACACACATAGTGCAGATGGGATCACAGTCTGTGCTCTCAACACTAGCACAAACCATACAGAGGGGTGTTTGCCACAGAACCACAGTCTGACAAGTTTGGTGAACAAAATAGGTTTTTTCTAGAACTATCAGAGCTTGTTTTCCCCTGGGCCACCCAGCATGGATTATAGATGTGTAAGGTTTTTGTAATGGGGAGGGGGCGAAACCTTTTGCTGAGGTGACAAAGAAAACAAAAATAGTGACCATTTGAGAGGCAGTGTGGTGAAATCAGGCGCTCGTCAAAATAATGAAAGTGAAGAAACTGGCATTTTTCAGCAACCAGTTAGGCAATTTTAACCAAATTTTTTTTTTTTTTTAGCTCAACCCCTTTTATTTTGGTACAAAAACAAATTTCCATCCGAATTTTACTGAAAAATGTTAAAGGGGTAACGTATGTCATTTTTCAGTTTTCAAGGACTCTTTAGCTATTGGCGCTACCAAACCTTGGCGACCATTTTCTAGCTAATTTCGCCACTGAAACCAGGTGACCTCACCTCTTTCAATCACAGATATCTTAAATTCTATTCAAGATAGATGGTATTTTTTTCATTGAAAGCAAAACAAGTGAATAAACTTTCCGATGATGCCAATAACTCCACATAAATAATAATAATTACAATGGTTTGCATTCATAGAGCGCATATCCATTTCTGCAATGCCCAAAAATTGATGAGCGCCCGGTTTCACCACATCGTGACACATTTTGTTGCTGTGCTCGTGGCTCAGAAAATGTTCCTCCCAAGATGTGGAGCAGGGCCAGATGTTCTCCTCATTTATGTGGAATGGAAAAAGCAATAGGAGGAAAGTTTTTGGACTTGTGGAGTTTCCAACTTGATCATCTTGTCCAACACTGCCGACGTCATCATGATAACTTTACTTTTCCGATCCAGCGGCCATTGGGTTCTAGCCCTTTGGTCTGTCGATATGGCAAAGAATTGACAGGTTTTAATCAGCTGTGCTTTGTACTTCATCATGATAAATCATGTGTGTTGATCACCTGATTTTGTTTTGTGTTGACCTGAAGAAACTGATACAACAAATGTGTTCTGTGATTAGAATCATGCCATACAACTATTACAACCTGTCTTTTTTTCTCTGTCTACTTCTGTGACGACAACCTGGGAGTCTTTAAGGTGTGGAAGTGGTTGGTGGTGGAAGGGTTAGAGTTAGAGAGACTGAGAATACTCGTGTGGGGATCTGTTTTGTGTGTCTCTTTCACCGGCTCATCAAGTTCTTTGATTCATTCAGACCCGAACAACACGTTGCTTCTGGTCATCAGAGAGGGTCGCATGATGAGAAGTAGATTTTGGTGTAGATGAAGTGATGGACGGAGTCTGTGTTGCTATCTGTTGTGAGGTTTGGAGTTGGGAGTTTTGGTGCTTGTCGAAAAAGTGACCAAGTTTCTGGAAGTTTTCTGGCTATATGCTTGGCCATAGGTATTTCCATGCGTGTGGGGGTTACTTCAAAGTCTTGCATGAACCACGACATTAATGAAGAAGTTGTGGTCAGTTGTCTGACAGTTTGCGATAGCTTGCCTCACTCATGCTTTGTTGTTTTTACTGATGAGATTTTAAGGTCGTGGTGGAACTGAAATTTGTTTGAATACTGACTGGTGATAGTGGATTGAATACTGTGGGGACTGGACGAGAATCTTTTCTGTTTTTCCCAAATGTTGTAAGCTGAGACTTCTCAGAGGCCGTAGGGAGACGGAGAAAGAACTTGCATTCTGACAGAATTTTGCCGGTCAAATGCGGTGTACGGTCAAAAAGAATAAAAGAAAAAACCTAAATACCCAAAGAAATCTGCCATTTAAGAGAGTTGTTATTGTGTGGTGTGGTGATGTGGAGCCCTCAAGTTTGTATAGAGGAGAATGTCAGGAAGTAAGGGAAAGTGTGGCGTAGACAGTATAGAGAATTTTTGTGAGAGGTAAATAGGAATGTGTATTGTAGAAGTAAAGGAAAGTGTGGTGCAGACAGACAGAATTTCTGTGAGATGTAAATCAGGGATGTATAAGTGAGGGAGTGTGGGGTATAAAAGTAATGGGATGTGTTGTGCAGAAGTCAAAGAAAGTGTGGCGTAGACTTAAGGGAGTGTGTGGATTAGAATTGAGGAAGTGTGTGGAGCTGAAGTGCAGGAGTTTGTGGAGTAGAAGAAGTCAGAGAGAGTTAGGAGCCGATGTGAGGAAATGTGAGTGTCCAATATATGAGATTGAAGAAAAGTGTCAGATGTATGATATTGAAGAAAAGTGTCCGATGTATGAGATGGAAGGAAAAGTGTCCGATGTATGATATTGAAGAAAAGTGTCTGATGTGTGAGAAAGATTGAAGAAAAGAGTCCAATATATGAGAGGGATTGAAGAAAAGTGGCCGATGTATGAGAGAGATTGAAGGAAAGTGTCCGATGTATGAGATGGAAGAAAAGTGTCCAATGTATGAGATGGAAGAAAAGTGTCCGATGTATGATATTGAAGAAAAGTGTCTGAGCAAATGTTGTAGTTTTGAGGAGGCGCGGGACTGATTGTAGCGCTAATTATGGTCAACAGCTTTTTTTTGCTTACATAATGAAATATGAATATAAAATCTTATAAAAATCTGTCTGATCTCATTTTGCAAGTAAGAAGTTCACTTGTCTTCTGCGAGCTGTGCAAACATTCACATTGATGAGTTGCTGAGAGGAGCAATGAGGCGGTGTTGAGTTGTTGAGGGCTATTTCAGTTTGAGAAGCACGTCGCATTGTGCTATACGCGGGCAGTATTGCGTACAGACGTAAGTCATTTTAGGCGACCTTTGAGATACGTCTGTATACAATACTGCCCTAGTATAGTGAATAACAGTGGTTGTAGCTTTGTGCTTCTGTCTCTCCCTCCGGTACTATTTATTGCCTCTTCTACTTTTAATGAATTCATTCTCTTTGCTCTGCCTTGAGCAGATTTCTTGATGACCTGTTTTCATTTTTGTACTTGTGGGGACAGTTTTCAGTTGTGTAAGTGTAAATGAATTTTATTTTTATTGTTATTTTTTAAAAAGATTTAGTAAAAGTTGAATGGCACTTGCAACACAAATAGGTTCTATATAAGTGCCGAAGATTAGAGTTAATGCTAGAGAGTAACTTACAAAGAAAAGGAGGAGGAGGAGCGATAAGGATTATATTATTATTGTATGATGGGAAAGAAGGAGCAAACCACACCAGAGCACCTGCCAGCCGACCAGCTGTGTGTATAGTTGAGAATTGAATTTATTTTTAGAATTT